TGTACTCTTATTATACGGACTGTTATATAGTTTTGTTATACAATTTGTGTTCACTTTTTGTAGAAAACATTTCAATAATTCAAACAGAAGTCTATATTCGAGACGTAATTAGTGTTGGAATTGAAAAGTGAATCAAAAAGTGATTGACTTTTGTCTGGAATTGAAAAGTGAATGAGATTTCAGTTATTATTTGGGTTTTCAATCAAATCATTCAAACAATCACTTCATTTGATCCCAAGATATGGCGCAACACATGAAACACAAGAAGACATCACTCGAGACCAGAGATGACGGCAATGAAGACAACAAACAACAGGTATTTAATAAACATTTGACTGTTTATTGAATATTAACTGTTTTTATCTCACACGCATAAAACTGTTTTTAAAGAGCTACAAGGTTTTATGGTTTTCTTTAATTTGAAACAAAGTTTTACGTTTTTTATCCCAAAAGTAAGCAGTACCATGTTGTAATTTGTGTACAACATTGTTTTACTACAATAATTGTGTTTAGTTTTGGTACAATATTGCTTTCATTGTAATGAAACATTGATTTCATGTAGTCGTGAATCAATGTTCACTTTTTTATTTAGATTTGATATATAATTGTTTAATATATTGTTTGCAAACTCATTCATTGTCTCCAATAGTACTTTTGGAGACAATTTTTCATTTAGGTGCACAAACGCCCAAGTTTAATTTCAAGTAAATTGTATTGTTTTTCAATATATTATCAGACATTGATAGTGTATTAAAATCTAACATAATTACTACAAATAGTACTTTTTGTTGTAATTTTTTATTTATAAATCCCGTTATCAATGGATCACTTAATCACTACTTTTGCGAGTGAGAAATGTAGACAAAAAATTTAATCAGAAATATTCTGATGAAAGGCTTTACATTAAAAAGCTCATTGTTATTGTCTGTCAGAAGTTTTCTGATCAAAAGTATGCCCTAAAATGATAAGCAATTTAATAGATATAATTGTCATTAAATAATTAAAACTAAACTGAAAATTAAATATATTGACGCTATTTATGTGAAAGTGAGACAACCACTGGTTGATGACATCCTTTTCCTGTTAAAACATGTATTCATTAGTATTTAAATTGTTTTCAATTGTATTTGAAAGTCATGTATAAATCCGATTGAAGAGAAAAATGGGATAAACGAGATATGAATGGATTTTGGGTCTCAATAAAGGCCATATCGTGACCGAAAATAAACGCAAACCCAAACCATCGAGTTTTAAAGGGGTATGTATTGAGACATTGATTGCAGTTGTTTTGAGATTTAATGTGATTTATATAGCGATTAATGCATTCATTGTTTTCATTGTCATGTCTTATAGCGGATCACAAAACAAATTTGTGAGATATATCGAGCGAGAAGTGTGTGGTTTCCACCCCTATGAGAGACTAGTTGTCCAACGTTTTGGTCCAACAGACCGGCGCCGCCGGCGGCCGCCGCTGCACACAAGTGATCGCGAGATGTGTTACTCTTTGCTTACTATTTATTAATATCTAATAATTTGTTTATTATAATCATTTTGTTTGTATAAATTTAATGTAAAATATGGGAAATAGTACTTTTTCCCATATTATCTATTTTTTATAACATATTATTTATAATTATAATATTTAGTTTAATTTATACATTTAATTGTATTTATTTGTTTAACATTTTATTTGGATGCTTTTGTAAAATGTAAAATATGGGAAAAAAGTACAATTTTCCCATATTATGTATTATTTATAACTATGTTTTATTATAAAATAATTAATTGTATTATTAATTTAAATAAAAAACTATTTGATTAAAAAACAATAAAATTGTCATATTTTAAATCAATTATTCATTGTTGATTAAATTCAATAAAAAATTGTAACAAAACAAGGTGTAGTAAAACTATGTATATTTTTGGTTTTTAGACCATATAAAAGTTTTGTTCCTCTACAAGGTACTTTTATTGTATAGAATCACCTTGTAGAGGAACAAAGAATTGGGCGGCTTTTTTTCTTGTAGTGCTTTTTGAATTTTCTATGCGTGTACGCGAAGAACTCAATGGACAGATTCGGTGATGATTTGTGTCAACTTCTGTTGTCTCATCTCTCACTCGAAGATCGGTTTCAATGCGAAAGTGTCTCCAAACAGTTCCAGAGGACAGTCTTCGGGAGTGTTGTCTGCATGAAAATCAACTACAGATTTATGCAACAAATACTGAAAACAACAATCACTGAAACGTTGGCCACAATTGCCATAAAGTGTCCAAACATTCAGACCATTGAATGCCGAGGAATAAGGATTTCACAGAATGTTTTGGTCATATTTCGAAACAATTGCCGACATTTGCGGGAAATTTACTGCAATTTATGGCAAAATAGCGGACAAACAATGCCTACAATCGGACCACTTGTTGTCGCACACCGATAGCCATGGATTCAATCGAAAGACATTGGATTCGTTGGGATTTTGTCACCGATTAAAACGATTAGAGTTACGCATATATGCGGCCGGCGATGAGATAGTGTTGGATCCGTTGAGACAATGCAAGCGATTAACGCATTTAGAGTTGAATTTATTACAAATGACAGCAAATGTGTTGAAAGATTTGCACATAAAGTGTCCGCGACTTCAATACCTATTCATTGAAGGCTCGAATAACTTCATAGACACCCACTTTAAGACACAGTTGTCTCACATCTCAAGACTACCAGCGCTGCAAACGCTTGTCATTGACTGCAATCCATGCACTGATATCTCAAATAATGATTTCAATGATCTGTTGTCGAGAAGTCCTAAACTCAAAACTATTAAAGCAAATCAATCCTCAAATGTCTGGGAATTTTATTGCCGTCAAAACAATTGATCCATTAATTGCTAATTAAAGGAGTTTGCGCATTTGCGGGACCGTTTGCAATTTGGAATTATTGTGATAGAATGAAAGTACACTCTATAGGAATTCTTATGATATACTTTGTATGGTCAGTTGACTTCGGCTCTGGCCACAGTGACCACTTTTATCGGTAAAATTTTGAAAATCAAATCTTTTATTTTATAAATAACCATATCATATTATATATCAATAGAAAGGTATTGAAGAGTAGAATCGAACCCCGAAGGAATTTCTCAAATCTGACATAACCGATAAAAGTTATATCAAAATTAAGAAATTTAGTATCAGTTATGTACGTTTTTTATAATAAATAACTGATTAACAAAAATATTGGTATTTTATAATTGAATCATATTTTATAAATAACCATATCATATTATATATCAATAGAAAGGTATTGAAGAGTAGAATCGAAATCCGAAGGAATTTCTCAAATCTGACATAACTGATAAAAGTTATATCAAAATTAAGTAATTTAGTATCAGTTATGTACGTTTTTTATAAAAAATAACGTCATTACTGCATATCAGTTATATCAATTTTAATTATGCTTACGATGATAATTAATTTCGCAAATATAAAAAAAATAAAATTTTTCAATGTAAAATTTGTGGCCCAGCACCCATTAACATTGCACTTTACCCTTTAATGTCTTTCTGTTATTAACATTTATTTGTATTTCAATTACTAATTATTTTAAAATTTTGTCCAATTTATGCATAAAATAAAAATATGATTCAATTATAAAATACCAATATTTTTGTTAATCCTATTCGACGTCTCATTCATTCATTTAACTTAAACACCAATTCGTTTAAAATTATAACGAGTGTTGACTGTATTGTTAATAACCCGACAAAAAGTTTCACAAATATTTTCACAACAAATGCATACAAACTGTACTTTTATTATACGGACTGTTATATAGTTTTGTTTTACAATTTGTGTTCACTTTTTGTAGAAAACATTCCAATAATTGAAACACAAGTCTATATTCGAGACATAATTAGTGTTTGACTTTAAAACTGAATCAAAAAGTGATTGACTTTTGTCTGGGATTTGAAATTCAATTTTGAATCAAACGTTTCGTTCAATCATTCAATTGATCCCAAGATATGGCCCAACAGTTGACACAAATGATGGCATCACTCGAGACCACAGATGGCTGTGAAGACAGACAACAGGTATTTGTTAAGCGATTCACTGTTTATTGAGTTAATTGTTTTTGCCGAAGATTTACGCGAAGAACTCAATGGACAGATTCGGTGATGATTTGTGTCAACTATTATTGTCTTACCTGTCATTTGAAGATCGCTTTCAATGCGGAAGTGTCTCCAAACAGTTCCGGAGGACAGTCTTCGAGAGTGTTGTCTGCATTGATATCAACGACCGATTTATTCAACAAATACTTAAAACAACAATCACTGAAACGTTGGCCACAATTGCCATAAAATGTCCGAACATTGAAACCATTGACTGCCGAGGAATAAGGAGAACAGAGAATAGAGAACACATTCCCGAAGTGTTGGCCATATTTAAAGACAATTGTCTTAAATTGCGGGAAATTTACAGCAATTTATGGCAAAACAGCGGAACAATGCCTACAATCGGACCACTGGTCACACGAATCAACGCTAACGATGATTATATCGACACTCAATCACTCACTCATTGCCTCCGATTGTCTCATTTGATTGTCAGTCGTTTGAGTCAAGTCTTTGACAACACTTCCGGACAACTAATGGCAAAGAATTTGCACAAGTTTTGGGTAAAAAGCTCTTTAGGTCTTAATAACCAGCGCTGGTCTGCATTCGTGGCGCAGAATCAATGCCTTAAAAGTCTTTACGTAAGATATACTAAATACGAGACTCACGAGTGTTTGACCGAAATGTGCGGACAATTGTCACGATTAACACAATTACGGGATTTGACACTCGTATTGGAGATCAGTTTTGGGCTGAGTTTTGGCCAGAAGTCATTGTCCGACTCTTTGCGTACAATTGGCGAAAATTGCAAACAATTGAAACGATTGTCAATTCATTTCTACACCCAATCCTATACTGAAACCAAACTCAAAACATTGGATTCGTTGAAGTATTTTCAGCGATTAAAACGATTGGATTTATCACTTTCTTTGCCCATCGATGGCGTGGTATTGGATCAGTTGAAGCACTGCAAGAGATTAACGCATTTAGAGATCAATAAGTGGTGGGAAATTTCTGACGACACATTACTCATTGATTGCCATAAACATTATCCACGACTTCAATGCCTACACATTTATGGCAACTCAGCGATGATTAACACCCGTTGTTTGTCACACCTCTCAAGACTACCGGCGCTGCAAATGCTTGTCATTGAATTGTATGGAAGCGATGGTCTCTCGGATAGTAATTGCGAAGACCTGTTGTCTTCGAGTCCTAAACTCAAGAACATTGAAATCAATGTAAACAATGAGAAGAAGTTTTATTCAAAGTAAAAATGCTATAAATATTTACTAATCTATTATATAATTGTAATAAAATTGATTTACTGTTATATTCAATGCATTATTTTAATAGCATTTAATACGTAAATTAATTCGGTGATGATTTGTGTGAACTTCTGTTGTCTTATCTCACATTTGAAGATCGGTTTCAATGCGAATGTGTGTCCAAACAGTTCCGGAGGACAGTCTTCGAGAGTGTTATCTGCATTGATATCAACAACCGATTTATGCGACAAATCCTTAAAACAATAACCACTGAACCGTTGGTCACAATTGCCATAAAGTGTCCAAATATTCAGACCATTGACTGCCGAAGAATATGGATATCAGAAAATAGAAGACAAATTCCCGAAGTGTTGGCTATATTTCGAGACAATTGTCTTAATTTGCGGGAAATTTATTGCGATTTGTGGCAAAATAGCGGACAAACAATGCATATCGAAGAATATGGATATCAGAAAATAGAAGACAAATTCCCGAAGTGTTGGCTATATTTCGAGACAATTGTCTTAATTTGCGGGAAATTTATTGCGATTTGTGGCAAAATAGCGGACAAACAATGCATACATTGTCGCCATTGATCACACGAATCGATGATTATATCCCGACTCAATCACTCATTCATTGTCACCGATTGTTTCATTTGAGTGTCAGACGTTTGGCTCAAGTCTTTTACACCACTTCCGGACAATTAATGGCAAAGAATTTGGCTAATTCGTACTTTATGGCCTATTGTAAAATTACGTTTTTTATGGTTTGTACGCACTCTACACACTCTTCCGTATCCTCTAATGCACACTATTTTGCGCGGAAATGGCGTCAACATCACAATCACCACAAACTCATCTCAATTTAATTAAATTGTATGACATCACAAGAGGAGACAATTTAATCTCTCGGCTTCAAGAATGGGGACTCATTCCAGCCGAACCGCAATACAAGTGCCCAACTTGTGATAGTCCTCTTCGGTTGGTTCCATACACGGGACACGTGTAAGTATTATTATAATATAGATTATGTTATGTTTGGTTAGGTTAGGTTAGGTTAGGTTAGGTTAGGTTAGGTTTGGTTAGGTTAGGTTAGGTTAAATTATATTAATTAAATTAATTAAATTAATTTTATTCATTAGGGATGGTATCGCTTGGAGATGTCAACAAAAGGTCTCTAAACGGAAACAAAAGCCGACCTCTTGTGACACCCGTATTTCACTGAGAGGTGGCACTTTTTTTGCTGGTTCACATCTCTCAATCTTTCAAATATTGGGATTTGTGAACCTTTGGGTTGATAATGTCCCACTTCATGTGATAATGAAGCAATTAGATGTGTGTGACAATACGGTTACGGATTGGTCGTCATTTTGTCGGGAAGTGGTGTTCGATTCGATGATCTCCAAAAAACAGAAAATCGGTGGAATAGGGAAAACGGTCGAAATCGACGAGTCGAAGTTCGGGAAGAGAAAGTACCACAGAGGCCATAGAGTTGAGGGACAGTGGGTAAGTACAGTGAATGACGTTGAATGGCATTAACTTTAATGAATTTATGGAACTTAGGTGTTTGGAGGGATAGAAGAGGAATCCGGAAAAGTGTTTATGGTTCCAGTAGAGAAACGCGATTCCGAAACACTTATTCCAATTATTAAAGAGTGGATACTTCCGGGAACCACTATTGTTTCCGATTGTTGGAAAGCTTACGATTGCCTTAAAGATGAGGACTTCACACACCTTAAGGTCAATCATTCTGTAAATTTTAAAGATCCGGACACAGGCGCTCACACAAATCGCATTGAGGCCTCATGGCGCAGTGCCAAAGTTACCATCGTTCCGGGAAGTCGACGAAAGGCTTTTTTCCCGCAACACTTGGCGAAATACATGTTTATGAAGATGTGTCGCATTCAAAAATTGGACACATCAGTAGCATTTTATAGGATGGCCGGCGAACTGTACAATCCTCTACAACCGCCTAAAGAGACAAGTGTTGGCGATCGCGATTCGGATTCAGACAGTTCTGAACATCCATTTGATTAAAAAACTTTTATTAATGTTTGAAAAAAGTGTTTCCGCGCTTTTATTATAATCAATAATTACTTTTTTATTCATAAATAAATGATTTGAACACAAATTACGTCGTTTAATTAATAGGCCATAAAGTACGGTAAGGCCAAGAATTTGATTACGTTTGGGATAAGTGACTCTTTAGGTGATAATAACCAGCGCTGGTCTGCATTTGTGGCGCAGAATCAGTGCCTCAAAAGCCTTTTCGTAAGATATACTGAATACAGGACTCACGAGTGTTTGACCGAAATGTGCGGACAATTGTCACGATTAACACAATTACGGGAATTGAAACTCGTTTTGAAGATAATCTTTGATAAGAAGTCATTGTCCGCCGCTTTGCGCACAATTGGTGTGAATTGCAAACAATTGAAACGATTGTCACTTCATTTCTATACCGAAAACAATGAAACCAAACTCAAAACATTGGATTCGTTGGCATATTTTCAGCGATTACAACGATTGGATTTATCACTTTCTTTGCTCACCGATGGCGTGGTATTGGATCCGTTGGAACACTGCAAGAGATTAACGCATTTAGTGATCAATAATTGGCCTCAAATGGACGACACATTACTCATTGATTGCCACAAACACTGCCCACGACTTCAATGTCTACACATTACTGACAACTCAGCGATGATTAACACCCAGTGTTTGTCTCACATCTCAAGACTACCGGCGCTGCAAATGCTTGTCATGAAAGTCAATGGAAGCTCTGATCTCTCGGATAATGCTTTGAATGCTGTGTTGTATTCGAGTCCTAAACTCAAGACAATTGAAATTCGTGTAAACAATGAGAAGAAGTTTTATTATAAATAAAAATGATTTAAATATTTACTAATCTATTATATAATTGTAATAAAATTGATTTACTGTTATATTCAATGCATTATTTTAATAGCATTTAATACGTAAATTAAAAGCATTAATATTAATGCAAACAATCCATTAAATCGTATACTTTTTCAATTGATTCGTTATTTTTAATTCAAAAGTCATGTAATCTTTTAAATCACTTTTTTGTCATAACTTGGGATTACATGAAGTGATTGTGCGAACGGTTTGATTGAACTTATATTTGAATATTGTTTCCAAATGAAAACTACTACAGGTATTAAAAACTTTTATAAGTTTAAAGTTAGTAACAATTATGAAATAATAACGAGAGTTGACTGTATTTTAATAACGCGCGCAAAAAGTTTATAAAATTCACAAATATTTTCACAACAAATGCATATAAACTGTACTCTTATTATACGGACTGTTATATAGTTTTGTTATACAATTTGTGTTCACTTTTTGTAGAAAACATTCCAATAATTGAAACACAAGTCTATATTCGAGACGTTATTGTCGTTTGAAATCATAAGTGAATCAAAAAGTGATTGACTTTTGTCTGGGATTTGAAATTCAATTTTGAATCAAACGTTTCGTTCAATCATTCAATTGATCCCAAGATATGGCCCAACAGTTGACACAAATGATGGCATCACTCGAGACCACAGATGGCTGTGAAGACAGATAACAGGTATTTGTTAAGCAATTGACTGATAATTGAATTTTAATTGTTTTTGTTTAACATTTTATCCAAAGATTTACGCGAAGAACTCAATGGACAGATTCGGTGATGATTTGTGTGAACTTCTGTTGTCTTATCTCACATTTGAAGATCGGTTTCAATGCGAATGTGTGTCCAAACAGTTCCGGAGGACAGTCTTCGAGAGTGTTATCTGCATTGATATCAACAACCGATTTGTGACGCGCAGTCGCAGTACTGAAAGCACACCGACTCTCTCCCACTCGACATCCTTTTCCGCCTATCGTTCGTTAGTCTGTCGTCGAGTCGTTCGCTACTAATCGTCTCTTATCGTAATCTAATCATATCTTTCCGTAAATCTCGTGTATTATTCGTTTTAAACGTTAAATAAAACCGATTTATTCGATTAATACCGTTTTCGATCTTATTGTTCGGCCATAAGCCTAACAGATTTATGCGACAAATCCTTAAAACAATAACCACTGAACCGTTGGTCACAATTGCCATAAAGTGTCCAAATATTCAGACCATTGACTGTCGAAGAATATGGATATCAGAAAATAGAAGACAAATTCCCGAAGTGTTGGCTATATTTCGAGACAATTGTCTTAATTTGCGGGAAATTTATTGCGATTTGTGGCAAAATAGCGGACAAACAATGCATANTCCCGAAGTGTTGGCTATATTTCGAGACAATTGTCTTAATTTGCGGGAAATTTATTGCGATTTGTGGCAAAATAGCGGACAAACAATGCATACATTGTCGCCATTGATCACACGAATCGATGATTATATCCCGACTCAATCACTCATTCATTGTCACCGATTGTCTCATTTGAGTGTCAGACGTTTGGATCAAGTCTTTTACACCACTTCGGGACAATTAATGGCAAAGAATTTGATTACGTTTGGGATAAGTGACTCTTTAGGTGATAATAACCAGCGCTGGTCTGCATTTGTGGCGCAGAATCAGTGCCTCAAAAGCCTTTTCGTAAGATATACTGAATACAGGACTCACGTTTCGTGTAAACAATGAGAAGAAGTTTTATTATAAATAAAAATGATTTAAATATTTACTAATCTATTATATAATTGTAATAAAATTGATTTGTAAAGTTTATGTTATATTCAATGAATTATTTTAATAGCATTTAATACGTAAACTAAAAGCATTAATATTAATGCAAACAATCCATTAAATCGTATACTTTTTCAATTGTTTCGTTATTTTTAATTCAATTCATTTGTAATCAAAAGTGATGTAATCTTTTGTATCAACTTTTTTGCCATAACTTGAGATTAAATGCAGTGATTGTGCGAACGGTTTGATTGAAATTACATTTGAATATTGTTTTCAATTGAAAACTACAATTAAAAACTTCCATAAGTTTAACGTTATTAACAATTAGTCGGAAATATCAACGAGTGTTGACTGTAATTATAAAAGCGCATAAATATTTATTCAAACTATTTCACAACAATTGCATACAAACTGTACTCTTATTATACGGACTGTTATATAGTTTTGTTATACAATTTGTGTTCACTTTTTGTAGAAAACATTCCAATAATTCAAACAGAAGTCTATATTNTATTCTCTGATATCCATATTCTTCGGCAGTCAATGGTTTCAATCTTAGGACACTTTATGGCAATTGTGGCCAACAATTGGGTGTTAATTGTCTTTTCAATCAATAATCTCTGTATAAATCGGTCGTTGACCACAGATGGCTGTGAAGACAGACAACAGGTATTTGTTAAGCGATTCACTGTTTATTGAAATTTAATTGATTTTGTCTCACATTTTAGCCACAGATTTACACGAAGAACTCAATGGACAGATTCGGTGATGATTTGTGTCAACTATTATTGTCTTACCTGTCATTTGAAGATCGGTTTCAATGCGAAAGTGTCTCTAAACAGTTCCAGAGGACAGTCTTCGGGAGTGTTGTCTGCATTGAAATCAACGACCGATTTATACAGAGATTATTGATTGAAAAGACAATTAACACCCAATTGTTGGCCACAATTGCCATAAAGTGTCCTAAGATTGAAACCATTGACTGCCGAAGAATATGGATATCAGAGAATAGGGAACACATTCCCGAAGTGTTGGCCATATTTCGAGACAATTGTCTTAATTTGCGGGAAATTTACTGTAATTTATGGCAAAATAGCGGACAAACAATGCCTACAATCGGACCACTGGTCACACGAATCAATGTTATGGACCATAATATCGACACTCAATCACTCACTCATTGCCACCGATTATCTGAATTGAGAGTCAATTATTTAGACAAAGTCTTTGACAACATTTCCGGACAACTAATGGCAAAGAATTTGCAAAAGTTTGGGTTAAGTTTGTCTTTAGATGATAATAACCACCGATTGTCTGCATTCGTGGCACACAATCAGTGCCTTAAAAGTCTTTACGTAAGATATATTAGATACGAGACTCACGAGTGTTTGACCGAAATGTGCGGACAATTGTCACGATTAACGCAATTACGGGAATTGACACTCATTTTGGAGATAATCTTTGGCCAGAAGTCATTGTCCGCCGCTTTGCGTATAATCGGCGAGAATTGCAAACAATTGAAACGATTGTCAATTCATTTCTACACCGAATGCTATACTGAAACCAAACTCAAAACATTGGATTCGTTGGCATATTTTTATCGATTAAAACGATTGGAATTATTACTCAATTTGCCCGTCGATGGCGTGGTATTGGATCCGTTGAAACACTGCAAGAGATTAACGCATTTAGTGATCAATAATTGGCGTAAAATGGACGACACATTACTCATTGATTGCCACAAACACTGCCCACGACTTCAATTTCTACATATTTATGGCAACTTAACGATGATTAACACCCGTTGTTTGGCACACATCTCAAGACTACCGGCGCTGCAGAGACTGGCCGTTCAAATCTATGGACACTATACCTGTCTCTCGGATAGTGATTGCGAAGACCTGTTGTCTTCGAGTCCTAAACTCAAAAACATTGAAATCCGTGTAAACAATGAGAAGAAGTTTTATTCAAAGTATAAATGATTTAAATATTTACTAATCTATTATTTAATTGTAATAAAATTGATTTTAATGTGATATTCAAAGCATTGTTTTAATAGCATTTAATACGTAAACTAAGACTATTAATATTAATGCAAACAATCCATTAAATCGTATACTCTTTCAATTGATTCGTTATTTTTAATTCAATTCATTTGTAATCAAAAGTGATGTAATTTTTTGTATCAACTTTTTTTTGCCAAACTTGAGATTAAATCAAGTGATTGTGCGAACGGTTTGATTGAAATTATGTTTGAATATTGTTTTGAAATCAAAACAAATGATTAAAACGTTAATAAAAGTTACAATTAGTTTGAAATAATAACGAGTGTTGACTGTATTGTTAATAACGAGAGTTTATTCAAAACATTTTCACAACAAATGCATACAAACTGTACTCTTATTATACGGACTGTTATATAGTTTTGTTATACAATTTGTGTTCACTTTTTGTGGAAAATCTTCCAATAATACAAACGAAAGTTTATATTCGAGACGTTATTAATGGTTGAATTGAAAAGTGAATAAAAAAGTGATTGACTTTTGTCTGGGATTTGAAATTCATTTATGAATCAAACGTTTCGTTCAATCATTCAATTGATCCCAAGATATGGCCCAACAGTTGACACAAACGATGGCATCACTCGAGACCACAGATGGCTGTGAAGACAGACAACAGGTATTTGTTAAGCAAATGACTGTTTATTGAAATTTAATTGTTTTTGTCTCACATTTTAGCCAAAGATTTACGCGAAGAAATCAATGGACAGATTCGGTGATGATTTGTGTCAACTTCTGTTGTCTTACCTGTCATTTGAAGATTGGTTTCAATGCGAAAGTGTGTCCAAACAGTTCCAGAGGACTGTCTTTGGGAGTGTTGATTGCATTGAAATCAACGACCGATTTATGCAACAAATCCTTAAAACAACAATCACTGAAACGTTGGCCACAATTGCCATAAAGTGTCCGAAGATTGAAACCATTGACTGCCGAAGAATAAGGGTTTCAGAGAATAGAGAACACATTCCCGAAGTGTTGGCCATATTTCGAGACAATTGTCTTAATTTGCCGGAAATTTATTGCAATGTATGGCAAAATAGCGGACAAACAATGCCTACAATCGGACCACTGATGACACGAATCCGTGTTATCGACGACTTTATCGACACTCAATCACTCACTCATTGCCACCGATTGTCTCATTTGAGTGTCAATTGTTTGAGTGAAGTCGTCGACACTTCCGGACAAATAATGGCAAAGAATTTGCAGCAAATTGTGTTAAATTTCTATTCACATGAACACCAATTGTCTGCATTCGTGGCACACAATCAGTCACTCAAATGCTTTGTCGTTGAAAATTACATCGATTTACCTGAAGAGACACTGAACGCACTGACGGCACAATTGTCACGATTACCACAATTACGGGAACTGACACTCAGTTTGAAAGTAACAGATAGTCAGCACTCATTGACAGACTCTTTGCGTCCAATTGGCGTGAATTGCAAACAATTAAAACGATTGTCACTCGACTTCATATACACTGAAAATTATGAATTCAATCGCAAGACATTTGATTGGTTGCGATATTATCGGCGATTAAAACGATTGGTTTTACGCATATATGTGGACATCGATGACGATGTGTTGGATCCGTTGAGACACTGCCGACGGTTAACACATTTAAACATACTTTTAATGTCAATGAATGCAAAAGCGGTGGAAATTGTTTGTAATAATTGTCCACAACTTCAGTATCTATACATTCATAGCGCGCATAGCGTTATAGACACCGAGTGTTTGTCACACCTCTCAAGACTACCGGCGCTGCAAACACTTGTCATCGAAAGCTTTAATAACTTTACAATCAGTGCCAATGATTTCTCTGATCTGTTGTCGAGATGTCCTAAACTAAAGAACATTAAAACAATTCAATACTATTTCCCGAAGTTTTATTGCCGTCAAAACAAGTCATCCATTAATTTACAATTAAATGCAAAACATTTTGGTTAACATTTAATTGTATTTTAATTTGTATTTATTTCAAAATTTATTCATGAAATAAAAACTACTTTTTGTTTATTTTATTCACCGTCTCATCCATTAATTCAACTTAAAAACCAAATTAGTTTGTAATAATAACGAGTGTTGACTGTATTGTCAATAACGAGAGTTTATTCAAACTATTTTCACAATAATTGAATACAAAGTGTACTCTTATTATACGGACTGTTATATAGTTTTGTTATACAATTTGTGTTCACTTTTTGTAGAAAACATTCAATAATTCAAACAAAAGTCTATATTCGAGTCGTTATTAGTGTTGGAATTGAAAAGTGAATCAAAAAGTGATTGACTTTTGTCTGGGATTTGAAATTCAATTTTGAATCAAACGTTTCGTTCAATCATTCAATTGATCACAAGATATGGCCCAACAGTTGACACAAATGATGGCATCACTCGAGACCACAGATGGCTGTGAAGACAGACAACAGGTATTTGTTAAGCAATTCACTGTTTATTGCATTTTAATTGTTTTTGTCTCATTTTAGCCACAGATTTACGCGAAGAACTCAATGGACAGATTCGGTGATGATTTGTGTCAACTGCTGTTGTCTTACTTGTCATTTGAAGATCTGTTTCAATGCGAATGTGTGTCCAAACAGTTCCGGAGGACAGTCTTCGAGAGTGTTGTCTGCATGAAAATCAACTACAGATTTATGCAACAAATTCTTAAAACAAGAATCACTGAAACGTTGGCCACAATTGCCATAAAGTGTCCGAACATTGAAACCATTGACTGCCGAGGAATAAGGATTTCACAGAATGTTTTGGTCATATTTCGAGACAATTTCCGACATTTGCGGGAAATTTACTGCAATTTATGGGAAACCAGCGGACAAACAATGGCTACAATTGGACCACTGGTCACACGAATCCATTTTTATTTCGAGTCTAAAGACACTCAAGCGCTCACTCATTGCCACCGATTGTCTCATTTGCGTGTCGATTGTTTGAGTCAAGTCTTCGACACTTCCGGACAACTAATGGCAAAGAATTTGAGTAAATTTACGTTACGTTTCTATTCTGATGACGATTACTACCGATTGTCTGCATTTGTCGCGCAGAACGAGTCACTCAAATGTCTTGATGTTTACCATAACATACGTGTATCTGAAGAGACACTGACCGGACTGTCGGCACAATTGTCACGATTCACACAATTACGGGAATTGAAGCTAACCTTTGAGATAAGCGGTGATCAAACCTTAGTCACCGACTTTTTGCGCACAATTGGTGTGAATTGTAAACAATTGAAACGATTGTCACTCCAATTGTTGGACACCGAACGCGGTGAATTCAATCGCAAGACATTGGATTCGCTGCGATTTTTTTGCCGATTAACACGATTAGAGTTACACATATATAAGACCTTCGCTGAGATAGTTTTGGATCCGTTGCTACACTGCAAGAGATTAACGCATTTAGAATTGGATTTATTTAATATGACAGCAAATGTGTTGAAAGATTTGCACATAAAGTGTCCGCGACTTCAATACCTATTCATTCATGACTTCCATAGCATTATAGACACCGAGTGTTTGTCTCACATCTCAAGACTACCGGCGCTGCAAATGCTTGTCATTCAATGCAAAGGAGGCGATGATCTCTCGGACAATGATTTCTCTGATCTGTTGTCCAGAAGTCCTAAACTAAAGACCATTGAAGTAATGATTGAAGGAGAAGTTCAACAGTTCTCAAAGTTTTATTGCCGTCAAAACAATTGATCCATAAATTGCTAATTAATTTCAATTTCTTTCTGTTCTTAACATTTAATTGTATTTCAATTACTAATTATTTCAATATTTTGTTCAATTTATTCATAAAATAAAAATTTGATTCAATTATAAACACAAATATTTTTGTTAATCCTATTCGACGTCTCATTCATTTATTTAACTTAAATACCAATTTGTTTGTAATAATAACGAGTGTTGACTGTATTGTAATATTAAACAGATTTTCAAACAATTTGAACAACAATTGAATACAAAGTGTACTCTTATTATACGGACTGTTATATAGTTTTGTTATACAATTTGTGTTCACTTTTTGTAGAAAACATTCAATAATTCAAACAGAAGTCTATATTCGAGACGTAATTAGTGTTGGAATTGAAAAGTGAATCAAAAAAGTGAATGAGATTTCAGTTATTGTTTGGGTTTTCAATCAAACCATTCATACAAATTGTATGATACAATCACTTCATTTGATCCCAAGATATCACACAACAGATGAAATATAAGAAGACATCACTCGCGACCACAGATGACGGCAATGAAGACATCAGTCAACAGGTATTTCACAAACAATTGACTGTTTATTAAGTTTTAATTGTTTTTATCTCATATTTTAGCCACAAATCTATGCCAAAGACTCTTTGGATCGATTCGGTGATGATTTGTGTCAACTATTATTGTCTTATCTCTCACTCGAAGATCGGTTTCGATTGGAATGTGTGTCCAAACAGTTCCAGAGGACAGTCTTCACGAGTGTTGTGGACATTACTCTCACGCATAGAAAATTCAAAAAGCACTACAAGAAAAAGGACGCCCAATTCTTTGTTCCTCTACAAGGTGATTCTTTACAAAAATAGTACCTTGTAGAGAAACAAAGTTTTTTTTGGTCTAAAAACCAAATTCGTACATAGTTTTACTACACCTTGTTTTGTTACAACAATTTTTTATTGAATTTAATCAACAATGAATAATTGATTTAAAATATGACAATTTTATTGTTTTTTAACCAAATAGTTTTTTATTTAAATTAATAATAAAATTAATTATTGAATACAAAACATAGTTATAAAAAATACATAATATGAGAAAATTGTACTTTTTTCCCATATTTTACATTTTAAAAAACACAAACAAAATGATAACCAAATTAATGCTTAACAATTAAATGTATAAATTAAACTAAAGATTATAATTATAATTAATATATTATATTATAAATAATAGATAATATTGGAAAAAAGTACAAATTATTTTCAATTCAATTCGTTTGTAAACATTATTTCAGCGATTATTTTGTGTTTAATTCTCATATCATTTGTAATGTTTGCCCGTTTTTATAACAATACAGTCAACACTCGTTATTATTTCATAACCTATTGTTTATTTCCGTCAAACTTATTAACGTTTGTTTGATTTGAAAACAATATTTAAATATAACTTTCAAACAAACGTTTTGTACAATCCATCACTTCATTTGTTCCAAAGATATGGCAAAACAGAAGAAACACACGAAGACATCACTCGAGACCACAGATGACGGCAATGTGGATGACATTCAACAGGTATTTGACAAACAATTGAATGTTTAACTTATTATTGAGTTTTAATTGTTTTTTTCATTTGTTTTAGATTCAAATCTATGCGAAGAACTCAATGGACAGATTCGGTGATGATTTGTGTCAACTATTATTGTCTTATCTCTCACTCGAAGATCGGTTTCGATTGGAATGTGTGTCCAAACAGTTCCAGAGAACAGTCTTCAAGAGTGTTGTCGACATGAATATCAACGACCGATTTATTCATAAATTGCTGATAAATGAGAAGACAATTGACACCCAATTGTTGGCCACAATTGCCATAAAGTGTGCAAACATTGAGACCATTGACTGTCGAGGAATGCATTTATTTATGGCACACATTCCTAAAGCGTTGAAAACATTTCGAGACAATTGTCTTAATTTGCGAGAAATTTACTGCACTTTACCGACAATTAGTGGACAAACAATGCATACATTGTGGCCAATGATCACACGTTTCGGTGGCAATACATACTATGTTGAGTACAGACAAGCGCTCACTCATTGCCACCGATTGTCTCAATTAATAGTCGATAATTTAGACCAAGTCTTCGACACTACTTCCGGACAACTATTGGCGAAGAATTTACATAAATTTGAGTTAAATTATTGTTCAAACAATTATAACCACAGATTGTCTACATTTGTGACACACAATCTGTCCCTCAAATGTCTTGACATCAGTTATCGTAATTACGAGACTCGCGACTCACTGATGGAAATGTGCGGACAATTGTCACGATTAACACAATTACGTGAATTGAATCTCGTTTTGGAGATAATCGGCGGACAGTATTCATTGACCAACTCTTTGAGTACAATTGGCGTGAATTGCAAACAATTGAAACGATTGTCACTTCACTTCTACACCGATAGCACTCAATGCAAGCGCCAGACATTGGATTCGTTGCGATATTTCCAGCGATTAAAACGATTGCGTTTAACTCAACTTGATTTGCGTTTTACACAAATTCATCTCTCGTTGGATTCGTTGAGTGATTGCAAGAGATTAACGCATTTAGAGATCAATTTAAAGGGAATGGACGTCAAAGTACTCATTGATTGCCATAAACACTGTCCACGTCTTCAGTATCTATGGATTGATGGCAACCGAAACATAAACACCTATTGTCTGTCTCTCATCTCAAGACTACCGGCGCTGCAAACTCTTGTGTTTTGCTTCATTGGATTCAATGGTCTCTCGGATAATGATTTCTGGGATCTATTGTCGAGAAGTCCTAAACTAAAGACTATTGAAATCCGTGTAAACTATGTTTTTAAAAAGTTTTATTCAAATTAAAACAATTTATATTTATTACTCAGTTATCCAATTAAATCGATTATATTTGGTGATTATTAAAAATATTACAATTAATTATAAATTGAAATAAAGTTATATTTATATGAGTAATACTGTTGTTATAAAGTATTGTATGTGTTGTCATATGTTGTCAAATATAGTGTTGTCCAAACGGTTAACCGGTCAAAGAATGGTTTGACCGTTAACCGATCGGTCAAAAAAATCTTTGACTTTAACCTTAACCTCGGTTAACCGCGGTTAACCGGTTAACCGTTTTTCACAGGCTGACGTCATTAAGCGCTAATATATTTGTAAAATACCTTTAGTTTTAGGGTATTTTGCAAAAATTTTAGGGTATTTTTTTTTAACTTTTGGGGTTATTTTGCAAAAAAGGCGTAACTCTATTAATGAATAATGAATGCTTTTATTAAAACTATTAGTTATTAGTAATAATAGTAATAATTTATTACCAATTATTGCTGTACCATCAATTACGTAGCGGTCAATCGGTTAACCGTCGGTCAAAAAATGCTTTGACTTTTAACCGATCGGTCAAAAAAAATCATTGACTTTAACCCGGTTAACCGGTTAAAATTTTTTAACCGGTTAACTTTGGACAACACTAGTCAAATATCATTGAAATTATTATTTATTATACTAATTATTATTTATTCCATTTTTATTTTTA